GTCCTGCCTTGTGGAATAATCTCTGCAAAAACACATTTGAGTAGCGCTTCAGTAAGATGGCCAGTCTTGAGCTTGATGCTCAAGACTTTTACAACATTCTTTACTGCACACTTTACAAAAAGAGAAAAGAATCAGTGGATAACATGCTCCTTGCATGCAGAGTATCTTAAATAAAGATCCTTCGCTATTAAAAAGTCAGTCTTTTCAATCAGGACTAAGGAGAAATACAAATTTCAGGATTTCAGTTAGTAATTGATGCTTTACAAGGGGAGTCAAGCTCTCTCTCTTTGGGTAACCTAGGTCTCCTGAGGCAAACAGGGTGGCAACATGATTAAAAACACAAAATATGGGACTCTGGCCTTGGAAACATTGAGTAAGTACTGGAGTAGAAGGTGCAACAACAACAACAACAACAAAAAGGATAAAAGAGACTTGATAGTTGGGCTTAAGATGGTCAAAACAAATGAAAATACATTTGGCTTTGAGGAATAAAAAGAAAGCTCAGGGAATTTCTTTGCCATTTGCTTTGTTTTAAATCTAGCTGGCTGTATATGGTATGAGCTCTACAGCAAAAGATAATTAGTAGCTTTACATTAAACAAAATGTGTCAATTAGAGTGCCAGGAGTATCTAAGCTGTTGGCCATTCTAGTGGGAGGGAAATCTTCAGGAGTGGACCTTCAGGACCTACTCTCTGGATTGGCTGGTTTAATGGTGCCATCTTGAATTGGCTGGGCATGTTCTTTGTAATTAAGTAGGCTTTCGTATGTTTCCAGATATAAATGGGAACAACTCCTTTTAATCAGTGGAAGAAACATTAGTGTAGCAACCAAGTTTACATGATTAAACAACCCAGGGTTTGCAAACTATGTGTGAGAGTAAACAAGCATAGTGGATTTTTCCTGCTTCTGCTTTATGAAGCAACTGAGAAATGTTTCATGATTTGTGGACCCTGGCACACCAGCTTGTTTAATCCTAAATGACCCAGAGTTTAAACTCATGGTTTATTGCCAGGTTAACATTCTGAGCTGTTTAAATACTTCTGAACGCTAGGCTGTCACATCAAAACATTAGGAAGTGGAGGTAAAGTTGATGTGATGAACAGATGGGAAACTGTATGCTTACTTGCTCAAGAGGGGCCATAACTAATTGAATATTCATTACATTGTTGTTTAACCCAAAGCCATTTATTTACTTACTTACTTACTGCCCAGTAGCCAGATCTCTCTGGTCAGTTCACAAAAATTACACAATGTTATATAAAATTAACATGTAGAATTTAAAAACAATTGAAATTGCTAAAAAATGTGATACCTGGATCTAATGTATGATTAACATTAAAATCCCATCATATGCTGTCAGATGCTTTGGAGCAGAGTACTGTTTTAACCTGGCACCAAAAAGATAACGGTGTTGACATCCGGTGTGCCGCACTGATGAAATCATTGCACTTTAGGGGGGCTGCCACTGAGTGCTGACTGAAAACAGTTATACGGTTCTGACTTAGTGGGGTTGTTCATACATAATACAAATAGTTACTGTGGGGACAGTACACATGAGTTTGTGTCAGAGGCAGTTGCTCATGAGGTGATAGTGTGGTACAGCTGCACAAGCTGGGCATCTCAGCAACCATCAAGGTAGTGTGTGCAGTGGGTAATCTTACCAATAGGTGATTGACCAGGTGATGGGTATGGTGGTGGCATGGCGTGGTGGCTGCACTTGAAAATGATGTGGAAACTCTACCGACAACTCAGCCATTGCTAGGTGAACAAGGCAGTGGGAAATGGTGGCTGGAGCAGCCACTGGCTAAACCAGCAAAACATCAGAAAAAAATGCTGCGACCAACTTAAGACATAACAGGAAACAACATGGAAATGTGGCAACATTAGAACAAACCATTGGTTCTCCATGGTGAATCACAGAAACCAAATGTGCTTCTGATATTCACGCAGCAACAAGCCATTCCTGCCATGGCATCTTGTTATGTGTGAATGCAGCCAGTATGTGATCTGCTTCACTGGTACACATGGGTGTTGCAAGTGACTTTCTAAAGGAGCAATTGAATGATGGACTGTGGAAGTGACTGTTGATAATGTTTATCTTTAGACATCTGAGAAAATATTTGTAGAAACAATCAAAAGAAAATGACTGGAAAATGTTTCAGTGGTTTCTCTGTTGTTCCCCAGAGCTTCGTTCTTCCATATAACATATTTCTGGGATGAAGGTTGTTATTCCTTTGCCTGGATACTTATTTTAAGAATAAATAATATGCAAGATAATAAATTTAGTCTTCAAAAAAATCAGTGATTGTTGGTGTAAAATGACTATGTTTGGTTATTTCTCTTTGAAAACTCCACTTGGATACAGTGAAATGATTTGGTCTCTCTCTTCTGAATCCTTAGCCAGGATTAACTCTGCATGATTTGAAGAAGTACTCTTAACTTCATTGGATGGCCCTGGGTGATAGTATTATGAGAAAGGAAGAAAGTCCTCTCTATCCATGTTCTCAGGAACATGCATGTATTTTTTACTGCTGTCACATAGTTTCTCTTTCACTATTCCAAGCTTAAGAGCCCTAAACACTGTAATCTTTCCTCACAATCACCTGTGCCTGCCACTTCTCACTGTCCTTTTGATCACTTTTTCTAGTTCATCTTTTAGGTGAAGCAGCTGGCATGGTACACAGTGTTTGAAACAGAGATGAATCAGCAAATCTTCAAACTTTTCAAAGTTCTTTTAATCCCTTCTCAACTATCTGTCATATTACAAGCTTTGTTTTCTCTTTTCACATGAAAATTCATGCATGTTTTTGTGGTATTTTCCCAAATGTATGCAGCAATTATAAGCAGATGCTTGAAATGTATTCTTCTTCCATTGATGAAAGCATATTTGCTTTCACATTTTGCAAAAGCATGCATTTTTCAGGCACATTTTTCAAATGAGTGAATGTAGTCAAACTCATTTTTTGCATTGTAAATTGCATTGCAAACTTGGAAATGTATGGACATTGACCGCAGATTGCCTCCATTGCAAAGTGGCTTGCTAGTTTTATTTTTTAATAATGCTTTCCAAAAAGTTATTTCGAACAGATGTTAGACTAGCCAATCTATACTTCCTTCAGAATTGACATTAGGTTGGTCACTGTCCGATCCTCTAGTATAGAGACCTGTTTTAGGTATATGTTACACATTCTTCTTAGAAAACCAATTTCATTTTGGGTTCTTTAAGGAATTTCAGATGGACTTGCTGATTTGTTTTTAACTTTGACAATTTAGTCAAAATAAAGTTTAATACATTAAGGAATTTGGATGGTCAGTAAATAGAACTAGCTGCCAGGCTTCAGGATGTGTATTATAGTCAACATGAAATATATTAATTAGGTATGATGATATGACTTTAGAAATAAGTCCAGCATGGCAGCCGTTCTTAAACAGGCACAACAGATGGCAAGATACCCTGTAGAGTGTTTCCTTGCTTCTAAATTGGCCATGTTATACATTAACAATTCTCCCCACTCCATCTGCATCTTGTCTGTCTCTTCCAGGATATTTTTTTGTGTATCTGCCAGTGTGTTTTCTTAACCATTTCCTTATACAGCATATTTTTGCCTTTTATTGTGTTTCCATGCTTATCAGTTCCTTGTTTGCATGTTCTACTTTAAATGACAAGTATCCTGCTGAGAGATCATAGAATTTTTTCTTTGTAGGGAGAGGGATAATTAAGTTTGAGTAGTTCCCTCTGTGCATATTTTGTGTCTCAAGGTGAGGAAAAATTGCCACGTAACCATTTTCAAAAATTGTTTGCTATGTGACCTACTTCTTAAGTCAATGAGAACAGTTCTACGTAGACTGGTTGCATGGAGCTGAAAGAACTGTCTGTGTTTAAAGCTAACATTCAGAAAAAGTTCCAGCCTCTTTGATTATGTACTGTTTGGGCACTATTTGGGGTTCTAAAGGGAAAAGAGAAAGGAATATGGATTTACTTTTTTTCCTTCTAATTCTAGGTAAAGGTTTGATGCTATGAACTTGCTGATTTTGCTGCAGCACTTTTGTTTATTTTGTAACGCTTGCATGGTTTGCTATTCTAATACCAGTACTCACAGTAAAAGGAAAATATGTCTTATTTTAATGTTTTTCAGCTCTCTGAAAATATATGAGAGTGTCAGTTATATTAAGATGCAACAGTTTCTAACATTGATTAGGTTTCTTTCACTAGAGCTATCCTTCTTCTGAAGAGATTTTATTGTATTTTTTACTGTAGTATGTGTATCCTGTTTATTGAAATATATAACACTTAATATTAAAAGCACTGGGATTTTTATGCGACCCTTCTAGAATGTTTAGAGTAACATTTAATTATTAATCTAAAACTAGGGAGTAAGGAGTAATGACAGATATATTTTGTAATATGCAGCTATGTTGAATATTCTAGTGATTCTAGTGATTTTTCTGGGGTGGGGGAGTCAGAATGTGGCTATTAGGGATTCTGCATTTCTCTGTTTTGCTCCTGTTACTGGTTCCCATCTTGCTATATTGCATGTTTTGTGATAAGTTATATGTAATAGGAATGTCATTTGTGGCATTTGTGTTTTTAAAGAATTTCTTCCGTTAGCAGGATTACATTGATTACTTATGGGAGAGGGGGCTAATTCTGAGCAAAAAGAAACTAGAATTAAGGAAACTTGGAAGGCTATTATTATCCAGGATTAAATTACTTAAAAATGACTCTAATTCAGTGAACTGTTCCATCAGTTTGAAATGTTCTCATTTTCTTAAGTATTTAATTTTAGGTTTCCTACTAATTATTTGTTCTCTTTGCCTTCTTATCCAAAGACATTGAGGAATTACTAGATGACTACAAAGTGGTCTAAATGTATTTTACAGCAGGAATCTGGTTTATTTATATTGATTTTTTGTTTTGGGTTATTAAAATAAATGTTATAGTATTAAGATAATCCAGCAAAGCCAACCTGCCATGAATATTGCTTTTTCATATCTTTTAGTGCACTTGATTCCTGTTCATCCAGTTAAAGAAGATGGTCTGAATACCAAGAATCGAAAAAGAATAATGCCTAATCCACTGACAGAACCACCTGCTATAGATCCAATTTATGAAGCCCAGTTTTATTGTAACATTCCCAGCATACCTGAACGTAGTATGGAAGGTAATGTTTTGTTTGTCTGTTTTTGTTCCTATGTTCCTGTTTTGGAGTTTCATCTTTAAATTATAGCTTTCCTGATACAGCACGCTCTCAGAAAATTGTCAAGTAGAAGGAAGTTGCAGTAGTATTTAAAATCAAAGTATAAAACCCAGCCCTCACCTCCTAATTTAATCTTAGTTATCAATGATCTGCTCAAATATAAATGGGCCTGCTGATCAGAGCAAGGGCCCATCTAGTCTAGCATGTTTCCAAGAATAGCCAGTAAAATATTCTAGGAATCCTCCAAGCAGACATAGGAATCCCCTTTGACCTGACTCCCTCTGCATCTGAAGGCTCCACTTAGCTATGACTGATCACTCCATGAATTAGAAGCTGAAACTTAGGAAAGCTTTACATATTCTTTTTTAAGTAGAATCAAAGTAATTTGAAACACAAAGTGTATATCTAACAAGTATGAAACATTAAAGTAATCTAAGCCAGAGGCTGTCATGGCGTCTTGTAGCAATGATGTTACTGTGTCTGGGGATAGGGGGACCTCAGCACCTCCCCCTTACCTCTGTTCAAGAGAACACAACAAAAACTGCCAGTTCTGCAGTTTAATAGGGAATTAACCATTCTGGGTACAATGTGCTTGACAAGGAGAAGAAAGGAGACTCTGCTCCCAACACAGAGTTCCTTCAGATTCCCTCAGTTTAGGACAGAGAGCTCTGTCCACCTCACCAGTGCTCTCCACTCTCTGCAATCCCTGAATCCTAAACAGGGTGATGCCCCTAGGAACACACCATATGTTTTTGCCTTATCAGTGTAAATGTTCTGAAGCCTTCATCTACTGTGGTTAGGCTGGGCTGTCTGGGGGCATTGCAGAAGGTGGAACCAGCTGGGTCTGCCTTGCCCCTTCCTGGGTTGTCAGGGAACATCCAGTTGACCTGTAGCCCTGTGCCGCTTCCATGGGGCTCCAGCGTCACGTCTTTGCACCTCTTCCCTTGAACTGCTGCCTTGCTGTCTGCGTCTCTCTCAGCCACCAGCACCATCAAAGCCACACTCTGCTGTGCCACCTCCCGTGTCTTCCCATTTTCTCCCGTTCCCCACTTTACCCCCACCACTGCATCCAGATCTTCCTCATCTTCCGGGATCAGTGTTGCAGTGAGGTAGGTGATTCTCCATGGCTCCCCCAACATGCTTGCTCACTGCTCCATGTCTGAAGACTCTAGTGAGAGGGGAGCTACTTCCACTGTCACTGCTGATCCTCTCACTGGGATCCACTTGCTGTGCACCAGGTGGGAGACAGCAAGCCCTGATAATTCTTCACAAATGAATTCTACAAATTTTGCATTATGTGAAGAACTTTATTTTCCTTGGACTGAATCTACTGTCCATTGATTTAATTGGATAATCCTGCATTAATCCTGAACATCTCAGATAGGGTTGGAAAAATTCTTGCTTGAAATGCTGGGGAACTGCTACCAGTTACTGTGGACAGTACTGGGCTAGATGGGCTAATACATCTCAGTATAAGGCAGTTTCCTATGTTTGCACAACTTGTAGTGTTGTATGAGGAAAAAAAGAACCCTTTCTCTTTGTCTTTAGCATGCATAATCTGCAAAATTCAACAGATGCTTTAGCTTTCCATCATAGGGGAAGTTCATCTTGGCCATTTTAGTTAGTGATAGGGATGAAAGGACGATTTGAAACAAGGAAACAGGAAGAGTAAAAAAAAAAAGTAACAAAGAAAATTCCTTAACTAAAGGAAGAGGAGGCTGAGATCGGATAGCAGGAGGGAATTGTCACCTGGACAAGATAGCAGGAAACTTGCTCAATGACCTCATGACTTAACAAACGCAGCCTGCATAGGAAATAAGCTCATTATAATTCACCTGGGAGGGACGAAGTGTGAGGGAAGAACAGGTATCAGAGTGGCACAGGATAGGTGGATGGAAAGGATTTGTAACTTCCCAGTACTCTGCCCAATGAAGGAAAAGAAGAGGGAAGAAGCGGCCAGGGGCAGGGCATAAAAATGGGATGTGAACATGAGCTGAGTGAGCTGGCAAGGGGAAAGAAAACCCTTCACTCCCTTTATTGCAATAAAGTTTCAAAAAGAACTCCCTGCATGCTTGGAATGTTTTCCTCTTCTGAAGGAAAGGAAAGATTATTTCTAACAGTTAGATCACTTCAAAATCTATAGTATCAGTGTTAAGATGAACGATTCACAATGCTGCACAGTATTCCAAATGAAGTTGAACCATAGAATGAAAATTATATGTTTTGGCATTATAGTTCAGTGAATGTATATTTTGAATCAGTCTATTGTGATCCCTTACTTACTGGGGAACTGGGTCTCTTCAGCCTGGAGAAGAGGAGACTCAGAGGGGATAAGTTGGTGACATACAGGTATGTGAGGGGATGTCACATGGAGATGGGTAGAGACCTGTTCTCCCCTGTAGAGGAAGGCAGGACGTGCTCCAATGGAGCAAAGTTCAAGGAGCCAAGGTTCCATTTGGATGCCAGGAAGCCCTTCCTGACCGTTAGGAGCCCGAGGATGTGGAATGGGCTTCCACGAGATGTTGTTGAGGCCCCATCGGTGAGGGTGTTCAAGGATAGGCTGGACGTGCACATGGTGGGCATGTTGTGAGCGGAGCCGGCTGGTGCCGGAGATCATACTAGATGGCCTGAGAGGCCCCTTCTGACTCGCTCTGTTTCTATGTTTCTATTTTCAAAGAAGTTACTTCTGTTCCAGATTTTATCAACACACACACACTTTTCCAACACACAACACTACATAAATTGAATTGTGTTTGCCATTTTGTTGCTATTTCAAACAATTTATGGAGATTTGTCTGGAGTTCTTGTTAGCTTAATGTTAATTATCTAACCCTAATTAGTTATCTTCCATGAGCTAGCTATATCAGTGCTGCCAAATAATGTATGAATATTAAACAGTTCTGGCCCATTTAAGCTCAGCTTATTGGGAAATCCTATTTACTTACTTTCTATGCATCCATTTTGAAAAGGATATATTTGTTATCTATATTTATTGTGTTTTAATCATAGGAGGTCCTGACATTCCATAACAACTTAGTTGATTCATAGTTATTCATGTCAGAAGGGAGTTCCACTGCGATCAGTGAAACTTGCTCCCAGATAACTGGGTAAAGGATTGATGCCGCAAAAGACTTGAGTGAAGATGAGCTGGTCTTCTCAATAATTACATTTATTTAGAAGCTTTTAGTGAAACACAGTATCAAAATATTTTTGGAAGTTACTGGTTCATCCGTATCCTCAAAGGCTTCCAAAAGATGTATTTATTATTTATTTATTTAAAACTTTTGTATGCCGTCCCTTATGCCTTGGCATCTCGGGACGGCTCACAATCCATAAAATTGAAATGCAATAAAATTACATGTATAAATAACATAATTCTATAAAAAATTACATAAAGGGCAAAATCAAAGTGACTGTGAGGCAGAACTTCATTTTGCAAAAACTGTTCTGTACATGTGTAATTTTAATGATTTTTTAAAATCAATTTGTGTGGTGCAGTCATTAGGCTAATGAATCTATAACATACTGACGCCATTTTACTTAAAAAAAAAAACTTGTATTACCTAGGATGCCTTCTTATCCTCTGAGCAGGCTGGCTTTTAGTGACAAGGTAGGTATTTACTTTAGAAGGTCAACAGTACATAGCTGAGTTTACTGCCATTTGAACCCAGTGATTTGTTAATGTTTAACCTGTCACCCATAGAAATTCATTTGTTCTCCTCCCTTTCGCATAGATCTTAAAAAAAAAAAAAGCTGAGTCAGGGAAGACTATTTGCCAAACATCTTCTATAGTGAAGACAGATGCAAAACAAACATTAGCTTTTTTGTGGCCTCCCTAGTCTATTTGCTAATCATCTTATATCTAAAGGTTTGACCATCTTGCTCGTTGGTTTTCTGGTTTCCTGCGTCTGATAGATTTTATTCCATGCTTTTTAAATAAAGCATTCTTATAGTTTCTTACATTCTGTTACTTTCATCATGGTGGTGTCCTGTTGGTTTTGTTTGTTCATTTTCTAACCTGTGCCACATAATCTGCATTTCTTGAAGAGATTTGATTATGCTGAATTTTTCTTTTATCATTACTTTAATGAATTGCTGAGTTTTTGAGGTTTCCTCAATTGTTAATTGATTTTCCAGTTTGCATAAATGCCAAGCTTGGTGATTATTTACCATTCCTGATCAGTTTGACTACATGTAAAATTTATATTTGCATTCTGGACATCATATAAGTTTAAATGTTGCTTCCTCTCTAGTTGGCTTTTTGAACTTGTTCTAAAGGTGCCATCACTTATCCTTTCCTGAAATTAGTTCAGGATTTTCAAGTTTTGAAAAACTTGGGACAGAAAGCTTTGAACTCTAGCTAAGTAGTCAACAGGTATCTTTCTGGATGCCATTTTGAACACACTATAGTATACATGCACTGTGTTCCAAAGTCCTTATTTAAAGGATGACAGACACATTTGTTAGCCTTAGAAAATGAGTTCCGAAGTAGTGCTCCCAACCCTTCAATGTGTCTTGTACGCCTCCTTTGCTATTCCCTAGTTTTGTTGTGAGCCTGCCAGACTTATGCTGGTACCAAAGAGCTGGTGCATGGTGTTTAATTCATGTATGTAAAATGGAGATTGCCAAGGAAGTTCCAAGCTAGACATGACTTCAGAGGAAGACAACTTTTGAACTTAAAAAAAAAAATAGATTCTTAAAAAGAAGATGAATGTGCCACATCTCTGCAAAATGCCTGTTGGTTATTTAAAGCCATAACAGGAATGTAAAAAGCTGTCTTATACCAGATCAGGTCAGATTTTCCATCTGTTGTCTAGTTTTTTTAAAAATTAAAGATCAAGTAAAGATCTTTCGCATTACCTACTGTTTGGTACTTTTAATTGAAAAGGTCAGGGATTGAATTTAGAAAGTTTTTTTGGTACAAAGCATGTATTGCACTATTGTGCTGTAGTCTCTAGAAGCTCAACAAGACTGTTTAACCCAAATTAGGAAAAGTACAAGAAGATGCTAACATGGATAATGAGCAATGTTGAGGAATAAAACACTGAGGAATAAAATAAAAAGCAAAAATAGTTCCTTCAGTATTTTCCCAATGATCAAAACTAAGTAAAGAAATCTAGAAAAAAATGTAAGCTGACAAGAAAGAAAGCAGAGAGAGAGAGAAATTGGAGGAATGTGTTGTTAAGAACATTAAAGCCAACAGTTGGTGGCTGTTTAATGATAAGGGAATATGAAGATTGGTTATGAAAGATTGTAGAGGCTGAGTTATTTGAACCTGTCTTAATTGCAGAAAATTTAAAACAGGAACTCTTATGTGAATCAACATTTTTAGGAAAGGACTCTGAAAAATAAGCAAAATAGAGGTGACAGGAGACAGTTGTAAAGTGACTAAAAATTAAATTCCTGAATCTAGGCGGCATCCAGCTGAAAGTTTCAGGTGGCCTGAAAGTTCTTAAAGAATATGAAACTGCAACATTGCAATTAAAATACTTGTTGCTACAACTGCCTTCCCTATTGGATACCTAGAAAATAGCCAATGTAAGATAATTTTTTAAGGAAGTTACTGGCCAGTTAACACCTGTTCATTATTTAAAAAAACACATATACAAAATAAGAACTCCTGCTGAAGGAAAATTGGCAAGGGTTCTGCGAAGCGAAATTTGTGTATGTGGCTAGGGCTGACCTGGCAAACATTGACTACTTAGTTGAACTTTAAAAAAGCTTTCACTAAAATGTCCTACTAAAATGTAATGTTAAAGCTGTGCACCAAGAATGAGAAGGTTTGGCCTGTAGGCCTAATTTGGCCTGTTAAGTTTTCACAACCAGGCTTCAAACCCTGCTTTTGTCCCCTTGGGTATTAGAATTTGGCCCAAAGCTGTACTTGCTGGAGGAATTACCACAATCGTCTTAGATTGGAGGTGAAGTTAGAATGTGATTTCAGGGAACTGGACTGGCACTTGTAAAAGCTACCACTTGTATCAGCACCAATGATTCTGTTTCTGTTTCCATTTCTGTTGTTTTTGGCAACATTTACTGCTCTTTGGAGCAGTGCTTGCTGCTCAAAGCCTCAGGAACACACTTGTGCCAGATTCCCTTGCTGTACCTCTCTTAGCACAAAGAATGAGATGGGGGCAATGATGTTAGTGATCTTTCCCATGTGCACTGATACCATCCAGCCTGTGGAGTGCAAGGCAGTGGTGGGGTAATCCAGTCCCCCACCAAAATTTGGTGCTACCCCTTTTCTCTACATGGATTGGGACCAGGTTACTTGAGGAACTGTTGATTTAGATTTGTACCTTGCTTTCCTACCAATAAAAATGGCACCTAAGGCAGTTTGCAATCATAAATAAAACTTGATAAAAAGAATAGTAAAACAATGCATCAAAACACCATAAAACATAGTAGTAACAAAATTAAAACAGCATCCCACCCAATGCTCCAAAAGAATAAAAAGGTCTTTAGAGGGAGTGAATTTAGCTTCCTGTGGCAGGGAGATCCACAGCCTGGGAACAGCTATTGAAAAGTTCCTCTGACATGTCAGCACCAAATACATTTCTGCAGATGGAAGTCTCAAAAGAAAAGCATTTTCCAAGGTTCTTAAGGCCCAGACAAGCTTATACAGGAGAATCTAGCCATTTATGTGATTGGTCTGAAGCAGATATATAGGGCTTTATGGGTTATAATTAATATTTCAAATTGTGTCTGGTGGAGGGGGCAACCAAAACTGTAAACCATTGAAGCTTTTCTATTGAAGGAGTCACATGCTCCCTGTAACTGGCCCTTTTTCAGCAGTCTGGCCGCAGAATTCGGCACTAATTAAAGCTGCGGAGAGTTTTCAAAGGTAGCTATGGATAGCGTGTGTTACAGTGTCCAGATGGGATGTGACTGAAGTGTGCATGAACATGCCCAGATCAGACAACTTTAGGAATGGGCACAAGTCACACACTAGTTACTTTCTGGTCAGTCTGGAAAAGACAATACTGGGTTACATAAACCTTTTGGTTTAATCTGACAGTGCTGCACTTTTTTTTTTCTTTCATCTATTTGTTTCATTTTTATAGTCAAGGTACTCTGGGCAGTTAACAAAATATTTACTACAGCTGAATTTGTAAGCTATGATTTGTATGAATTCTTCCACCACATCCTAGAACCAAAGGCACAGTAGTTGGAGAGTCAGGAGTGTTACTAGAACTGACCAGATATTCTGGCCATAGAGGTCTGGTCCAGGTAAGGCACCCTACGTTAGGTTCAAGGATGCTTAGAAATACACAAAACCACCTGTGTTAAAGGTGATATACAGTTTATGAAAGACAGCAATGAACTGTAGATGCAGACAACTAATAAAGAAGCAAAAGAAAGCATACTTTTCCGTGATCTGTTAGTTAATGGGCCAGGGATATTCCATGGGCCTTCAAAGGTTCCTGAATGAACAACAAGTTAGTTCCTTCCACCAAGCTGAAAATGAAAGACAGTGGCTTTTGCCATGGACTATATATGGTCCCTGTCTCCCATTATTTCAGAGCCTGCAAGGGAGCCTGGATACACCCAGGCTCCCTTGCAGTTGCATAAACAGCTTTGTTCTCATTGCAAAGGCATGCTTTATCTACAGAAGCAGATGACTATAGCAGCTTCAAGGCCATTGTTTCTGTTGCTTTTCTTAGTGAGCCCTGGCTTAAGGCCATGAAGTCTTGACAGGCTTTTGAGAAACAATTTTGGCTTTTGAACACTGGAAAAGTTCACTGTGCTGCTTGCAAAACCTCAATAACCTTCTTGCCTTTTTTCTGGTCGAAGGTGAACCATACACCAGCTGTTTTATATTCACTTTCAATGCAAATGCTACAGCAGTTTAAACAAGACAATCTTACTGGTCTCTAGAATATTTATCTGTTGTTTATATTATTGATATCCTATTTTCTTGGCCATGATATGAGAGATATTAATAAACATCACCTTTTAAAAATATGTTTGCAACAATATGGAAAGGTGAATAATAAAGCTTGTCACTGAGATGCATGGTTACCTTAGTAACACTAAGAAAGCAGGCCAGAAAAGTAAAGAGGGTTTTAAGTTATAACACTATTTCTTTGTGGAAAGCAACCACTACAGTGAACACAGTGCCCATTAATGTTAAATAAATGTTTGCATCTTTCAATCCATGTAGAATATATGTGGCATACATGTTAGAGCTACCCCCCCTTCATCAGTCACATAAGTGGAAAAAGTCTGAGTTGATTGTCTGTTTTGTATATGGTTGAATACATAGGTTTATTATGAATTTTAAAACTGATTGATACATAACAATTTTATTTTGTTTTTCTATTATAGGTCATGCACCTCATTATTTTAAACTGATTTCTGTTCATGTGCTGATTCGCCATGGGGACCGATATCCACTTTATACCATTCCCAAAACAAAAAGGCCAGATATTGACTGTACACTAGTGCCTAACAGGTAGGATTTCAGTCGTCCCCCCACCCTCTCTTTTTTTTAATTATTTGGGCAATTTTTAATGGTCTTGTTTTTACTGTTTTTGTTTTTTATTGCTTTAAATTGTTGTATATTGTTTTGATGGCCTTTTAGTATAAAAGTTGTTATATAAATGCTAAAAAACCAAACAAGAGCAACCTGGGATGAATTGGAAGCAAGAAGAGAATGAATTTTCAGTGGTGCCAAAGGGAAACTTTTTTTTTAAATTAAAACACAATGCTTTGAGGAGACTGAGACTCCTTCATTAGGGGCAATTTATAAAATGCAAATGTTGCAAACAAATCTAGCCAGCTAACTAAGGTAGTGCCTACCCTTCATAGGTAATCATTATGCTAATAAATGTTCAGCGTAATGTGATTGACCAAGAGAAGTGCATGAGCATCTTGTATTTGGTTTGCATATGCTTAAGTAGAGACCTATTAATTCCCATTAAAGGGATACTTCTAATCTTCACATCTAAAGTATTGCTTATAGAAAATTTTCTACTCCTTTTTGATTCCATTTCTACAGGAATTGTTAGCATTTCCAGGAGGAGCTCAGATAAAAGGGAATTTTATATCATTCCAGTCTACCTCCCCAGCATAAAGCTTTCAAAATATAATACATATATACCCATTGTTTGCCAACTTTCTTCAATTGCTCCCATTCCTTTTGTAGTGAAATTCTTCTCTGGCATTACTTTCTTCCTATCCTGGTAGGTATGTTGACAGTTGGATGAATTGAGAAAAAATTACGAGAAGAATGTGACAGCTACAACAGAAAACAGTTAAGGAAATAATGGTGTGTTGTTACAGATGGAACCATAACATCTTACCTTCTCATATTGGAGCTGTTCATATGTTAATGGTAGATAATTAAACCATGGTTTTCTGGGTTGTAATCTAGACACAAGCTGTTTTCAATTTGACTACGCATCTGAGCAGACTAATCAGAAGTTGCTTCTTGAAGTGTGAACCTGGACATCATGAGTTATTGGCAGTTAAATCTTTTAATTTAGAGAGCTTTGGTATGTTGCTCTGTTTTTGTTTTGTTTCTGTACTAAATGTTAGCTGTCTTTCCTATACTTGAACTCTCATTTTGTGTGTCACTTCATCAGCAACAAAATCTATCTGAAATGCCAGTTCACTTAGAGAATGGATTAACAATATGTAATATAGATGGTAGCTGTTAGTGCTTCTTAATAACTATATAGAGTTGTTAACACATTCTTAATACATAATAAAAAAGAATTTATGACAAATGTCTTGCTGGTATCATAGTTTTGAGTCTAGATTTCCTAACTAGTACAGGCTTATTAAGTTAGCCTGTCCCAAAACAGAACTTAATTTTTTGAGCTCAAAAAACAAGGAAGAGAATTAAATAGTGCAGAATTACTGTTCAGAGATTAAGTAGAATTATTAAAGCAGGTCAAGTGAAATGTTGTGTTATGTTGCATTATAATTTGTAAAGGTTCCACTTAACAGCAAACCTGACTGCACAGCAGACAGAGAATTCTATAAAGGTCAGGATTTTAAGGCTGGTCATTTAAGCCTCTTCTCTGTTTATTATTTTAACTGGAAAATACATAATGGAATCACTAGGGAAGAAGGGTAGAAATAAGACGATCAACATATTTTTATAATAAACACATTTTTTACAAACAAAACATCAGCGTGTTGAAGCATTTGTTATTAAAAGTTTCTAAATTGGACCTACTCAGTGTTACCAAATTTCACTGGCTACAATAAGCAATTAAATTCTGTAATAAGATAAGCAATGAGTAATTTGGTAATTGCAGTGATAGGATTTTTAATGAACTTACTCCAGGGAATGAAACATTAATTGAAGAGAGATCATTCAAAGCCATTTGGAAATCCTACAGGGCTTTACAATCTAAGCTCTGAAAATGTCTAGAGTGTACTTTTAAAGAAATCACTTTCCAGAGTTGGCAAGTGTGAATGGTGGTAATTAAATAACTATTTTTCAACTCTTACTGTTTGTAAGAAAATCCAGGAAAACACACTATAGAGAAAGCCCCACTGTGTAGAAGTTCAGCTTCTCAGTGGCTCCAAGGAAATTCCTGGTGACCGTTGGCTGAGATCTCCTTCCTTACCTGCAATTCTTAGGGTGGTTGAAACTGCTAAAATGAAAATGCTGCCAGCCTTATAATGTCTGCTATGTTAAAGCTTTATCCATTCCAAACGACCTTGGTTGTGAGACAGCTTTGAGGTTTTTGTGAAGCTTCTGTGAATGACTCTTATCAACAGTGAATGAGGAAGCTGGGTAGGATTTTATGTATTTGTTCAAGAAAGCAGGGACTTGTGTTTTAAAATTAACCTCATTTAATTAGCATACCTGTTTAAATTGTTTTCTGTCACCCATGACTCTGTTTAGTGCCTCACCTGCCCCATCTGAAGTAAGGTGACTTGTGGCAGAGATATTCTGTCTTCTTAACAAGTTTCACCTGGGGAGTGCTGGGAGTTCTAAGATTTTTTGGTGTCTAAATATGCATGGGATTGTGTCCTTAACTCTTGTGGGTAAACTAGAGTTTTTGAGAAAGAAGCTTGGTGCAGTTTTCAACAAAGAAGGCTACATCAGGAGGTTGTTTATCTGACAGACCAAAGACAAGTCTTTTTCTAGTCATGGCATTTGGAAGCTGCAAATTGCATGCAACTCTTCCTGCTCTTACAGGGAGATCAATATGAATATATACACTTAGCAGAAAAATCATTTGCGATTAATAGTCTTTCTTCTATTGTACATCTTTCTTGTGGACAAAGGGTTTACATCCATTGCATGAGTATTGATAAGAATATATTGGCAAGGGAAAAAGATAAAATGTAAATGAAACTTATATTTTGTGTATGCAAAACACATGCATACACACAAAGGTTGGTGTTGTGTAGTGGTTAGAGTGTTGGATTGGGACTTGGTTGCTGTTTCTACTTGCCCATGAAGCTCATTGAGTAACTTTGGGCCACTCACTGAATCTCAGTCTCACAGAGTTATTGCTTCACCAGTAGGCAGAAGCTTGTGCTATAATCAGTGTACTACAATACCTCTTGTCTGTTTTTCTGAAACATAGTAACAAACTACCTTGGCTCATGAATGCCTTGGTTCATGAACAAATTGGGTCAGGAACAAAAATTTCATTAAAATTTTGATTTGGGTCGCGAATTCCGCATTCAGTGGCAACCAAGATCGCAGCCATCTCCCCCCCCCCCCACCCCGAGTGGGAAGATGGCCACGATCGCAGTTCCTTTTGTGCAGGGAAGGCAGGCGCACTCCTGCAGGAAGGATGAGCGCAATCTCGGCCATTCCCCCCCACCCCGCAACCAGCACGATTGCAGACATCTCCCCACCCCCAGTGCACCCCGCTCGCGCAGTCTCTCCCTTCCCCAGCACAATTTGTTCACGTCCGTCTCTCTGTCCCCCAGTGCGCCGTTTGCCCCCGACTCTTCCTCCCCCAGTGCGCCCATGATTGCACCTGCCTCTCCCTCCCACTCCCCAGTGTGCCGGGATGACGGGCGCCTGCCGGGATGACAGGCATGATTTCAGTAGTGCAGGGATGACAGGTGCTATCTCGGTCTTGCTGGGTGGCGGGGAAGTGGCCCCACTTGTGCTCGGGGTGGGGTGGGGGAAGCTGGCCATGGTCTTTGTTGTTGTCACTTTGCTTCACATTTTTCTGAATTAAAAAATGGTTACAGAACGGATTAACGTTATTTACATTGAACCTTATGGGGAAATTTAACTTGGCTCACAACCAATTTGGGTCATGACCAGAGTCCTGGAACGGATTAAGTTCGTGAGCCAAGGTACCACTGTAGTTATTGAGCAAGCATCTAGATAGCAAACTGCATCTGCCACAGACTTGAAGACACATCTTCTTTGGAGACCTGTGTGCACTTTTATACTGGCTCAGTAGATCTGCAGTCTATTAATAAAGTATAGTGGTGGTTTCATGCATAGTTCTGTTATACTGGCAAGGTTTTCTTCAAGGCCAGAAGAGATGAAGGCAGGGTTGCATGTGTGGCATCATGAGAAAGGAGAAGGGGAATTAGCAGCTGTACAGGCAAATTGAGTAAAATAGTCTTAAATAATTGTAGGACTATTTTAGGAGTTCTTTTCAGTTGGGCTGGTAAACAAAAATGTTGTAACAATGATGAATAATGAAGTGCTGTTGGTTACAGTGAGATTAAAACATAGAAGAACTGCCACACATTTGTTAAATATAGATTGACAGCTATTTAGTTTTTAATTATTTTCCCACTGAAATTTGTATTTGTATAAGCTATTTGGACATGGTTTTGTGATAAGCATCCCATTTGTATTCAGTCCTATTCTCTGTTTCATTTAGTATTCCACAGATGGAGTTCATTAATTACGCAGATTATGCTATAGCCCTATGGACTTTTAATGGGTATGCAAGATAGCTTAGGGGGTCCTGCTTGGGTTTTGTGAATTAAAAAATGTGGCTTATAAATAGTTTAGAAAGGACACCAGGAAATAGACCAAGTCCTTGGAGATATTTCCTGTCAAATTTCAATTAACATTTTCAAATAAAGGCAGATTTCCATAGAGAAAACTTGGTTTTGTAATTGTTCACATGCATAATTAACTTTCTGTTGTAGTTGTTGGAGTTTTTTGGATTCAAGTATGCAATACCTAGCTTTATGTTAGTTTCACACATAACAGATAAAGTGATAACTATCTGTTGAAAATGCCATAATTGAGTTTCATGAGAGAGAGCATAGAAATCTTCCTGCCCCCAGAAATTTCCTGTGCCCCCAAGTTGTTCTTGGCAACTACTCTTTGCCTATCGTATGCAAACTGGAAAGATTTGAATGCATATTGAAAAGACACCCTACTGCTGTTGCAGAAATAAGAAAGTTTAGGCTACTTCCCCAAAGGTGATGCTAAGAATGATATAAAATGGCATTTGCCAGTTCTCCTTAGTGCCTAATATTATGTGCCCTTAGCCCCCA